CACCTCGTCTGCAAACACCAAAGAGTTAACAGAGGGGGGGCTGCCGGGACAAAATCACCTCGGGTTTATAAATCAAAAGCTTTTATACATCTGAGCAGAATAATTGCAAACTCTGGGTTCTGAGTATAAGGCACGAGCCAAGTATGCACACGGCAAATGAGGAGTGTACAAAATAGCTCATCGGTTGTGACTCTGGATTAATTACATGTTCCAATCAAACTTCCCAGTGGTGCAATCTGGACACACGATCTGGGATTAAATGTCTTTTTTTCTCACATAGCTGTTTTTCCACTGTTATTTATTAATGTAGTTAGTAGTAGACTTTTGTTTAAAGTTAATCTGATTAAATACAAATACTTAATTAGGTGGCAATTGTAGTGCAGTACCAATCCATCCTCTGCCTGTCTTTGGGAATATCTGTGCAGAAGGATGAATAACGGCAGGAGGCCAGGTTCGTAGCTGTACTTGCACCCCCGGGTTAAGCCTCCTCTTCCCTTTGGAAACCTCGGATACAGAACTGAGCAGATCCGAAAGACAGCAGAGTCTGCTGTACCTTATGCTCGAGATCTGACCTCATTTCAATGGGGCAGCAGCAAACTCTCCTTTTCCTCCCACTGTTATAACATCATTGGGAATGGGGTGAGACATCCTTGCTGCCTGGGCAGGATTCTGACAGCCCCATCGGCATCTCTGCCGGACCCAGAACACCGGCTGGGAACCGGGCGGAACACGAGGGGTCTGGGATGCGGGCTGGCAAAGGGGCAGCAGCACAGGACTTGCCCTCAGACTTCCAGCCCTCATCATAAGTACAGCAATAAGGTCGCACGTGTTGTAATTTTGCAAATGAAGCCCAAACCCAGAGGACCAGGAAGCGCAGGCTGCCCGGGGGAAGGTTTCCCGGCTCCTTCCCCGCCCTGACCCGTGGCTCACCCCCCCTTGGGTCCGGCCGTGACCGCGGCATCGGTGACAGTCCTGGAAGCAGAAGATGATTGATGCACAGAGCTGCCGGGGGATTTCACATAGCTCACACTGTGCTCTTCCTGCAGCTCATTTCAGCAGTAAAATGCTGGTCCTAACGGGACAGAATCCAGCACCATAAAATTGTGCTGTACAGCCATTAAAGGAGTCATAAATAAGAATTATTTAACAGAGGCATATGGCTATGTAGTGACAGCAAAAGAAAGTAGGTTTTCTTCTTTATTTATCATTTCACTTAAAAAGTAAAATTAATTGACCAGTTACAGAACTTGTCAAAAGCTAAACGGGAACTGTCATGCAAACAAACGTTCTGCTGAATTGACCAGTTACAGAGCTTGTCAAAAGCTAAATGGGAACTGTCATGCAAACAAACGTTCTGCTCATCGTAAAAAAATTATCAAAAGAGGAAAGATTATCCAGTGCTGCTTCTTGAAAAGGCTGCAGCAAAATCTGTCCTCAAACGTCGAGAGGAAGAAAACACCGTGAAGAAGTGATCTCTGACTATTTTCCCTGGCGTTTAACGAGTGAGTCAAATCCCAAGAAAATGAGAACTGGAGTGAGGCCCCTGTCACCAGCCCGAGTTGCTGAGGGTCGTGGGGAGAGGATGGGGAAGGGGCTGCCGCGAGCATCCAGCGAGGACTCACCCTGACCCGCACCGAGCGCGGCACCCGGCAGCGCTGCGTCTGGCCCTGGAAGAGTGGGGGGGGCCCCAACCTCCACCTCCCAGGGGTCCAGGGGGGGTTCCCCAGGGGGTCTGGCCGCTCCAGGCTCTGCAGGAGGGGACAGTGTCTTACCCACCTTGCTGGAGGAGGTGCTCAGACGCTGGCCGGCTCCTGGCGCTGCTGGGGACCGGCCAGCATCGCTCCCCATCCCCATGGGGGGCTGCACCAGGGATGCAAACGGCACCAGATGAACCCGATGTTAAACCAGGCTTAAGCTCAAGCCATCTCCAGGAGCCACACAAGCCCAGACAGCCAGTGCTGCCTCAGCCCCAGCTCCAGTGCTCAGGCAGGTCCCACGAGAGCCGTTCCCGTGGCATACAGGACAGGCACTTACTGGTGAAGGGCTCGAACGCCCACTCGCTTAACCTCGACTCGCTGAACGTCTCCAGCCGATACTAGAAAAGAGAAGAATCATGTGCTCGCCACACAGACAGCTTCAGCAGCAGGCATTGCAGTTTGAACCTTGTCTGTCTGATAGCGGGGATGGGAGCAGACTCTCCAGTCTCCAAGTACCACTTGTGTAAAAAAACCTGGTTGGCACTTTCACAGAGAAAGCGCATTTTGCTGTTATTTAGAGCCATTGCTCTCCCAGCACCCCGCTCCTCGGGGGTCCCCGGGGAGTGGGGCAGAGCTGGGCACAGCAGCGATCCCCAGGCACAGCAGCAGCACCCCCAACGCCTGGCACAGAGCCCCCCGTTCGGTTTGCTGGGTACCCCCTCGGGCAGCGATCCCCCAGCGCAGGACTGATTCAGGAGCCAGCTACGAACCGCAGCAAGCACCAAATCCTCAACAATGATTTTCAGAGAGTAGAACGCCAACAGGGAATCAAAGCCCACATGTTTTCTATGGAATTAAATGAATAAATTCACATCTGGGGGGTTAGAGCCTTTACAGGTCCCTCTGAGCCCAAAGCACCGAGCTGCAGCGCGGGTCCCTCTGCTCCAGCGGATGACAGGGCTCTTTTGGCAGGGCCAGGCTGGCAGAAAAGGCTGGCAGGGCTAACTTTGCTGTGGGGAAGATGTACTGTTCAGTGAGAAAGCCCGGAGTCAGCCCTTGGGCAGCCTATCACTGGAAAGCACTATGTGGCTGTGTCTAGAGCAGGATGAAAGCCATTGAATGTAATGAACGGATGGGTCTTCATGTCGCAATGTAAGTGGAAATGTTCCCCTCCGCCCAGGCAAGGTGCTGGGACACCGGGGAAGGGGAGGGGGACGACGACACACGCAGTAGGTGCCGGGACACCAGGGGGGGGGTACCCACGCGGCAGGTGCCGGGACACCGGGGGGGTACCCAGGTGGTAGGTGCCGGGACACCTGGGGGGTACCCACGCGGTAGGTGCCCAGGTGCCGCAGGTGCTGGATGGCCAGGTCCCCCCCAGCTCCACACCCGACGCAGCTCCAGGAGCCCATGAAGCGCAGGAGGGCTCGTCTGGCCACCGCCTCCGTCATCGCGGGCACACTGCAAGGCAACAGGAACAAACTCTTAACTTCTAAAGAGTTAGCTGGAAACATTCAGTGTATTTAACCTGCTGCAAAAAAAGTGGAGCTTATTTGGGAGCACCTGCCTCTTCTACACAATCACATCTGGTGTCTTATTCCAAAAGAAAAAGAGCTTGCATTCTAAAAAATATCTTCCTGCTATATCAGTATTCAAGAGTGGTCTAAAATAACCACGTGTGGAAAGGGACGGCACCAGGATGATGCCAGCGATGTTGGTGACCTGGAGGGCTGTGTCTGCCCCAGGACCAGCCCCAGGAATGCTGCAGGTTGCAGGTGCCCGTGGGGGGGACAGCCCTTCTGCCACCTGGGACCCCCGCCAGCATGGGGGTCTCAGCGCCCACCCCAGGGATCGGCTGAGCTGGTCTCAAGAGCAGTGCAGAGAGCCCCTGCTCCCCAATGCTCGTACCTGTGCTGAAGGGCAGGGGGGCTGCTCCTCCGCTCCCCCGGCAGGTCCAGAGGTGGGGACAGGGGCTCTGCTCCTGTGGGAAAGGGCCACGGAGCCATTCAAGCCCGATTTAAACCCAGGGCAGGTTTGCTCACAGCTGCAGGAAGACGCAGCTGCAGCAGCTAAAGCTGCTCTGGGGTCAGTGACGTGCTTCCCACCAAACCCCCCACGCAGCCCAGCCAGAACCTGTTGCCAGCCCAGCTCATCCCAGTGACATCCCAGTAAAGCACTGGGATAGCTCGCAGGTGAGCCGGGCAGCCGTGCCCACCCCCGCGCAGACCCGCAGCCTTGCTCAGGGCAGTGCCACAGTCCCTGCTCAGCAGAGCTCTTGGTGACAGTCCCAGCAGAGAGGAGCGCAGACAGACGGCAGAGCCAATTGCTCTCCAAACACATCTGTCTGCACGAGAAGCAGGAGCAGCAGCCCGGGGGGAAAGGAGGCTGCAGGCTGGCCAGGCACAGCCCAGCCGGTGGCTGTAGAGGATGAGGGGGGGTTGCGTGGGACTGTCCCCCAGCAGCACCAGCTGCTGCTTCCTTGCTGTCAGAGCAGGGTTACGGGAGCGCAGCCCGGCAGAAAGACGAGCGGTCCGGGCCACGGACGTAACTTTTTCCCCAGCCATCCGCTCGCCACCATCCCGCTGTCCCGGGGGTGCAGAAGGTGTCAGGGGATGTCCCCGCTCCGGGTCACCTGCAGCCCAGGGAAACACCAGTGAGTGGGGACACCCCGAGGGGACAGAGACCAAAGGGATGTCACCGGTGGGTGTCAGCCACTGCTGTCCCGTCCCTGTGTCACCAGAGCGCAGTGCTGTGCTGCAGTGGAACAACACTGACACCCTGCGTGGGGACAGAGCCCTGCAGGACCCTGAGCCTGCTCTGGGAGCAGGTGAGGAGCTTGGAAGGCTCAAAGATGCACAAATTTATATCTTTAACGGGACACCAAGAGAGGTGACGGGCAGCAGCTCTTGGCTGCCTTTGGAGCATCCATCCCCGCAGCCACTCTGCTCACTGAGCAACTGACTGTTCTGAAGGTTTCCAACTTACTTTAACTCTGTTCGTGGGACATGGGTTGTTTGTTTCCTTAGGTACCACTCTAAAAATAACCACTCGTAGCAACTGGTCCTCCCAAAGCCTAACACAGAAACAATCCCTTTTATTAAGCCTTTTATCCACTGACCTTTCCTATCACAGCAGCTGATTAGAAAAATTCAATCTGTGCAAGAAAGAGAGCAGAGGAGCCAGGAAACACCAGCCTGGCAACGACCCGCAGTCTGACCAGCCCAGGGAGAGGCTGGGGGGTCATCCATCACCCTGATTTACTGGACTTCTGAGAGCATGCTCCCTTCTCCTGGGAAGCTACATTAATCTCTGTTATTTCTTCCTATGGAAATACAAAACTACACGCTTCACTTGAAGTGTCCCATCACTGGAGCAGGAGAAGACAAGGCTGTCCCTGAGCTGAGGAAGAGTGGGTTCCCAGGCAGTGGTGGGCGATAGGCACCACAGAGAACTTCCTTGTGAAAAATACATCAGGAGGATGCCTTCAGTGTGACCGTCTCGGTCATGTCTAGACCAAAGTGAAACATCCTCCTCCAGTGGTGGGTAAAGAATCTCAACCAGTTCTGGATTCACTGGGCGATTGGTTCTCAGACAGTGAGAGCTCAGCTCTCCAGACCCCTGCAGCCCTGCTCGGGTGGGCAAGTGCCAGGCTTGGGGTGTGGGAAGGGAAGGATGAGTGCCTTCCCTTAATGCAGAGAAATATTCTAGAAGCATGACCTCCAAGGTTCTTATTTTAACTATTATATCACAACAAATCCTTTATTTTCATTCCAAATATAATGGGTTTCTGTACATGTTCCCAAGAGAACCTGAACGTCTATTTTTAATGTGCAAAGATTAAACAAGAACCTGTTTACAACAAAAGATGGAGATAAGAGTAAAAGTACCAAATTCCAGTGCCATGGAAATGGTTTAAATGACCAGGTTAAAAATATCCCAAATTTGGAGAAAATAAATCAAGTGCATGGTTGTTGCTATGGTGATGTTGTTGGAAATCACAATAGTCTACAAACACGAACCCATAGCTCCATTTGAAACCAACAATAAGCCTGAGACAGACTTTGGCCAAAGCCAGGAAATTCAGTGCTTGAGCTGTTACTCATCCGATATATTTCAGGTTTTGTTCTATATCGTCAGGACTCAGCCCTAGATATCCCCAAATAGCTGGGAAAATTCCCAGGACACGCAGCAGCGGAGGATGGGCTCCAGCCTCAGGCTCAAAGCTCTGTTTGTTGGACCTGACCACAGCTCTGTCCCCATCACTCGCGTCCCCCACGGCTGCGCTGTCTGTCCGGGAGAGCTGAGGTCAGCACTCCACGCAGCACCTCCAGGACCACAAACTCCTTTTTTCCATCTGATTAAATAGAAACTTCCTGTAGCATCATTATTTGTCCTTAGGCTAATCAAAGCTTTTCTCGTTCATAAATTAAGGAACCTCAGAACTCAATGACTTTTCAGCAGCATCAGTGACAGCAATATTTCACTGGGGCCCCACGTAATTAGAGTTTCTTCAGGCACCATATTAACATCTACTGAAAAAGATACAGCCAAGGGCATGAGACCCATCGTGACAGATATTTGGATTAAGCAGCATTTTGCTAAAAGATAACAAACCCCGGTTTAACCTCTAACCCATGTCAGGCGTCTCACAGTGGACTCCAAGAATCCCACCTGAAAGGCAAAACCAGGAAACATCCCAGGAGCAGAGATTCAGGACTAAAGGCACACTTTTAAGGGTTAAGCCCCCATTCCACTGGAATCAGAGGACTTGGCTTAGGCAGAGCAACACCTCCAGGCACAGCCCACGCTCTGACCCTTCCCACCCCCTCCACAAACACAACTGGACCAGTGCATACAGGGACATTCGGTGGAGGGAAGGTTCAGTTCTGGAAGCAGTTATTTTTAACATATTACTTGAAAACCCAGTTTAGGAATATCTTAATCAAGAAGTAAAACTGCATAAAAATAGTAGAGCAACTCCCCACTGTGGCATGCGATGGATTTCTTTGGGTTGTACTTACTGTCTGCTTTCATCCCTTGTTCCGTTTTCAAAGGCCAGGAGCAGCGATGATCCCATCCCAGCAATCTCCTCCGGAATACATTGTTTTCTGCAAATCCCGTGCTCACAGCAAGGAAACCCATTCCCTGTGAGCCACTCCCCTCTGCCAAACAATGCAGATGTTGTCAGTTAATGAATTAACGTCAAAGCCGGACAAAACAGCAGCTTGCCAGGAAGGAGGGTGCCCGGCAGCCCATGCACACCCTGGGTCTCACGTTAACAAAGCCCATCAGCCGTGTGGCTGGAGTTGCTCTGCTCTTCGCCACCGTGTCCCGGTGTCACAGGCAGCACTGGTGGCGTTAGCAGGGGACAGTGATGGAGCTGACAGGCTTGGACAGGTTCCTAAAAACATGGAGAAGAGCCATAGGGACAGAAGGGGAAGAGCTGCCCTCCAGAGCAGAGCCAGAAACCTGCGCAAACCCACCTCAAAAAAAATGATTCCCTTTACTAAGGGAGCGTGCAGAGCTCACTCTGGTACGGACGCTGCTCTTATCACCCCGGAGCCACCAGCATCCCTGAGCTCCGCGTCCTTCCCAGCGCTCAACATCGCTGCAGGAACCTGCAGGCACCCAGCCCCACCGCACAGCACTTGCCATCGCATACGTACCTCCGTGGTGCAGTGCCTGTGCAGGCAAATCCCTGGAGAACACTCAGCAAGCATCCTTGTAACAGCTGCAGGGACCGTGCAGCCATAAACCGCTATTTAGGGCTGTGCAGGGTGTGCACCGCTGGCGTTCATGCTTTGCTGGGGACACAGGTATGCTTTGTGCTTTTTTTTGTGTCTTTGAATATTGTAGCAGAGGCTCTGAAATGTGTCAACAATTAAAAGCTCCACAGAATAATTCTAAAGAGCTCAAAAACATAACTGCCTAGGGGCGTTCACACCCTATGTGAATAGTATGATACAAAGGAAAACAAAGCTGCACCAAGGGCCTGCTGAATCACGATAACATTGTTCTGAATTGTCCCCTTTCACTGGAAAAAAAAAGAAGCAAAAAAAAAAAAAAAACCAGCAAAGGAAAATCTTGATTCTGTGGAACAGGATAACGGGTTATGCTTAAGAGCACTAAACAAGGGGGTTTGGGGATTATCACACGCAGTTAGGGATGCAAGGTGGCTGCAGCTATCTCTGAGCAAGCTGTCGGCTCTCCCAGCGCTGGTGACCCAGGATCAGAGCAGAGGGGATGTGCCGGGGCTGAGCATCGCCTGCAGGAGCTTACAGGGAATTCTGAATGAGTTGGTGAAGCTTGGAGAGAGTCCGTGGCCTGGAAAGCAGGCGGCAGCTCTGGACCAAGGCTGCGAGCAAACCCACAGACACGTGTGTTCCTGCTGCTGCCGACACACAGGGCTTCGATCGACAAAAGCCAGCGGCAGAAATAGCTGGCATCCTGCAGCGTATCCCCAGCTACTAACGACAGCTCACACCTACCCTGGAGAAGGGATGAAGTTGAGCTTTTACTTTATAGAGAACCTGAGGGAGGCGGGAAGGGACGGGATGACAGCAGGGCTGGGTCGGGGATGCTGAGCAGATCTCCTCCCCCTGAGAGCGGGGGTACGGAGCTGTGGCCCCGCCGTGCTTACACGGGGAAGAAGCACAGGGAGCAGATCTGGGGGCTTGGCTGCATCAGCCCCGAAGCGATGCGGACCCTGCTCTTGCTGTGCAAGATGCACGTCCTCATGTGCTGTCCTCAGGATGCCCAGTCCCCCAAACCTGTTTCGTCCCCCGCTTGCTTTCAGGGTGGTTTCTCACAAGACAGAGCAGGCAGGTCTGCAGAAACAACTGCAAGTGAAGGAATTTGGAAATTATAGGGCACAAGCCTCTTCTTCCTCACATCCTGCAAAATTACAGAATGAACCCGACAGTCCCACCGCGCTGGGTGAGCTGGGACAGCTCTCCAGGAGGAACAAGCCCGAGCCCGTGCTGTCACAGGGTGACCGACCACCCATCGTGTCACAGCCCCTGTTTGGGCACCACCTCGTGTAAAACCAGCCCCGTGAGCCGCTCTGTGCCCTGACCCCAGAACGATGCCTGGCACGGAAGCATGCCCCCGGCAGGACAAGGTGCTGTGACCGTGTCCCCGAGACCAGCCGTCCCTTCCCACCAGATGTCACCTCCCCACTGGCACAGACACCCACCCCTCCAAACAGCCTCTCATCTAAACCCAGCACTGGAAAAACACTGAGATGACCTTTCCAGGTGCTTATTTACACTAAAAAAATAAAACCTGGGCTGACTACAGATGGACAGGTAACTAAAATAATATTTACAGGGCTAAGAGAAGCACTTTTAGCGGCAGACCGGCTCACGTTCGTCCTTATCAACACCCCACCATCAGGCTCGTGTGACAGACCTCCAGACACGTCCTGACACCGCTCCGGCCGTCAGCACTGACCCCTCACTGCTGACGCTGCTGCTTTACCTTTCCATCTCAGTGGAGCCCGTACGCAGGGACACCAGCACAGCACTCGCTGTCCGAAACCCCCGGGACAGCCAGGCGGCATTGCCAACGGTATCGGGGTGCCTCTCCGGGATGCTTCCCAACGCTCTGTGTTTCCTTGAGCAGCCACAGGGATGGTTTCACTACCCGGCCAGGTTTTCAGGGTGTTGGTAGTTTTGACCCAAATCAGTACAAACTGGACATTGTTCTTCTCAAAGAAGATGGGGCTTGATTTAACTCCAGCTGAGAACATTTTCCAGAGATTTAAAGGGTTTGAATCAGCCCCGTAACCTTCTGTTCCTAAACTGCTGAGCCACTATATCTCTCCCTTCACACTTTGTCATCCTGAGCAACCTGTGGGAGATGTACAGCAGCTTTCTCCCCTCAGAGAGCAGAGGAAACCTGTTTCATCACCCCAATGAAACTCCCCGTTTGTGCATCCCCTCTCTCCGCCTGGGAGAACGATGGCAAAGGCACCATCCAAGGGACCTGGAGGACAGACCCTGCTTTGTCCTCACACAGCAAAGGTCTCTGCTTCCAAGTGGAAGAGTCTCTCCGGCACACAGGTGTCCGCTGCAATACCTGCCGAGGATGCTCTGGACCCAGTAACCCAGCACCAAACAGGACCAGGAGGAGCTGCCCAGCGTGCTCTCCCGCCTGGCTGTGCTCGCCCAGCCCCTGTTAGGACAGGCTTTTCTGCCTGGTTGTGTTTGGTTTATCCTAGAAATTAAAATAGTTGGGCTTTGTTCTTCTGGGTGGGTACAAATAATTTTTAATGGCAGCTTGCCCACTCAAAACGCACGCTCCAGACTATTTCAAGCAGTGAAAGCAGCTCTGTGCCAAAACCAAGTGCTAATCCTTTATCTGAAGCTATTAAAATACCATCATTAGTTCAAGCAGAAAAAACAATGCTTCCTGCCAGAACGCAAGTTATCTTTCCTTATCACTAAGTCACAAAGAGAAGCAGCAATAAATATAACAGCACACGAAAAAATGGGTGTTCTCGTGAGTAAAAATAACTCTGTCAAAATAGGTACATGTAGCAGATACTTCTGTAAAAATGCAGAACGGAATAGAACAGCCCAGTGGGTTTGAGATTAATGTGTGCTCTGGCATTTGGGATACCAGGGTGCTGCCAGACCCTGGTCCCACAGGGGGTCAGCAGGGACAGGGGCTGCAGGGGGTGCAGGATTGGGCCCTGAAGGCTTGGAGCCCCTCACCGCACAGCCCACTCCCCGGGCAGACCTCAAAGCCATGCCTGAGGGAATGTCTTGGTGCAACTGGCTGAGGTATGAACCATCGCTCAGCTGTGTCCCGACATCACTGCCTCACCCCATACCTGCTCAACGCACCTGGGCTCTGACCGCCCCGTGTTCTGCTGGGGCCATCCTGCACCAGCATTGCTGGATGTAAACCATGCAAGGGCAGCTTTGGCTTCATCCTCAGGAATATATCAGATGCTGAGGAAAAAAAATAAAAATAAAACCAGGTAGTTTGAAAACACATAGTCAATGTGGTCTACTGAAAGGTTTTTAATCACAAGGGAAAAATATTAAAAGACCAGTTGAGATTCATTAGCAATTTCTGTGCTTTCAGAGATTTTTTTTTAATAGGCTAAATCGTTGTGAGCTTCCCTAAGAGCAGAGCCCCCTCTCTCAGCAAAGAGCTGGTTTAAAGGTCTGTCACTAAGCAACTAAACTTCACTTGAGCAGGGATGTGCTGGTCACCACCTGGACAGCCCTGTGCACAAGCAGGACTAATCTCACTGCTTGGTTTTAACAAGAAAGCCAGCACGGTCAGGGGAAGATGCTCAGCTCCCCGAGCAGGGGCTCTGCCACGGTGCTGGTACCGCCACGGCTCTACGGCCGTCGCTTCGCTTTCCACAGGAGGCAGAAAATGCCTTGTTGAGCATTGCACTTGAGCAAGTTTCAACGAGATTAAAAAGCCAGTTTACCTCTCTTCTGCTTGAAAAACCACAGGTTTTGCAGGGGACACAGGGCGAAAGTGCCCACGTCCTGGAAGGAGACGGGAAGGCAAGGTTGCTGATGACTTGCAATGTTACCATTCAACGTCACAACAAGGGGCCAAGTTCCCTCTTCCAGAGAGGGTGATGTGCCCCTTCCCTCCCACTCCCCATTGCCCTGGGCCCTGGCGAGCCGTCCCCGGGCGATGCTGCACCTGCAGCAGGTCCCTGCACCACTGCACTGGGAGCTGGGGAGGGGTCCGCATGAGGACAGGGACAGGCAGCCGCAGCCTCAGCTGTGTGCAAGAGGGGGTCAGCAGAGGCGGCATCCAGAAACCCTCCCAAAGCAGAATGACAACTTGCCGCTGGTTCCCAAGGAAGAGGGGTCCCCAGGAGCACTGCGAGCAGCATGTGGAGTCCGACACAGTGTTTAACCTCCGGGTGATGAGACCCTTCCCAGCGCCCGGAGGGGCTGCAGTGCTTGGGGCAGGATCAAAGGAAGGGGAGGCAGCTGGGAAGCCGCACAGAACAAAGGCAAGCCCCAGGGTGCCTGCCATCCCAGCCCTTTCATCTCATCCGCTGCTTTGAAACACCGCACAGATGAGAAAAAGAAATGGATCTGAAAATGATCATTCAGGGGAATTTGTTCAGGCAGATTTGTCCAGCTCAGAGCTCTTTTATCAACATCAGCTGCCAAGCTCAGTTTTTTGGTGATGAGCAATCCCATCACTGATTTCAAAACTCACTCCAAAGAGTCTGCTGTGAATCAGCCCTCTCCTTCTCATCATCAGGAAAAAAGCTATTGCTACAGCTCGTGTCCTGCTGTGCCTCTCGGTTCCCTCGGCCCCGCAGCATCCTTTGCTCCAGCGCGATGGGCAGAGCCCGGTGCCAACAGCATGTGCCTGCAACCCAATAAACTCCCCTTCCTCCATCATGTCCAAGGACACAGCTCACTTCTGCTTGATAAATGAACGTCTCACGTTGGTGCTTGGGGCTGGAAACGCCGTGCCAGTCGCACATGTGTGTTTCCAGGCTCCAGCTGGGCTCTGCTGTGCTGCTGCAGTTTGGGGTCCAGAAAATATACTTACTTAGACCCTACTTGTGGAGGGTGAGGGAGCCAAGTCACGTTTGCCACTCTTTGCGAACAAGGTGCCTCCAGAAGGCCCATCCTCACCAAAGCCAGGTGTAAACTCTCCTCTGCTTCAGCAGAGCAGCTCAGACTCCAGCGCTCATGTCCCCAGCGATGGTCTGCAGTCACATCTGCAGAAGGTATAATTTAAAGACTGAAATTATTGCAGTTCAGACAATTGCTTGCTTCCCTTTTAATGCCTGCACACCCAGCCCTGTTTCTTAAGGGACAAAGGCACATATAGCAAATTCCCCCAGTGCCTCTGTCAGCCTTTCTTCCTCTCCCCATCCCCTCCCAATGACCCCAAAGCATTCGGCCAGCTGCCTCCCACTGCCCGTGCAGGCAGAAGCTGGGGTGCTCTGCTGTCTGCTCCCAGGAAAACCTGTCTGTGCCAGGCGCGAGGAAGCCCCGGCAAAGTTCGTCTGTTTCGATTACAAGGCAAATCCAGCAGACCCCACTTTCCCCGAGGAAAACTGGAGCCAGGGCCAGGCGGAGGATACTCCCGGGGTCTCGGGCGGGGGATGCTCCGGGGCAGCCCCTCACAGGCTGCCCAGAGAGGTTGTGGAGTCTCCTTCTCTGGAGACATTCAAAGCCCGCCTGGATGCGTTCCTGTGTGATCTGATCTAGGTGTCCTGCTCCGGCAGGGGGATTGGACTAGATGATCTTTCGAGGTCCCTTCCAATCTCTAACATTCTGTGATTCTGTGATTCTGTGACTAGATGGAGCTGTCGGTCCGGGAATAGCCGCTCGCTCCTGGAAGCGGCTCGTCCTCGTTTTCCTTCGCCGATGTGTTTGTTATGATAAACTAAATACACTTTTTTTCTTTCTTTCTTTTTTGGCTTGTAGCTCTCCGGAGCGATTTGTTTTCCTACCGAGCAATCCCCGTGACATGCAATTATCACGGAAAAAAGTAACTAAAAGCATAAACCTGTCCTGTGCTTCAAAGGATGCTATGGAAAGGCTCCGTATTTCCGAAGCTTTGCAGCGCTCGCCCGTAAAGGCACCCGCGCCGCCTCCCCCGGAGCCACCCTCTGCAGAGGTTCGGGTGACGCTGGGGGCGCAGCTCAGGGATGCAGGGACAGCGCAGTGACAGGGGATGCGAAGCCCTCCTGGCCTCTGGGGTCAGTCAGGACCTGCAGTCCCCATGTCTATTTTGAAAAACATGGAAGATTTGAAAGTCTGGCTTCTTTCTGAACCAAAACTATCCCTCTAGTTTCCAGAAAAAAACTGTCAGTCAAATATTTAGGCTTTTCACTTTGTATTATTTGTTATGTAAGGTACAAAATACTGTACTTTCAAGTGGAAAACCTTTTCCAAATCAAGGTTTGAAATATCTTGATAGCATCAAAATCCCCCATGTCCAGCTCCTACAGCGTCCCATACTATATTGATCCAAACCAAAATACTGGTTAAATATTTAAGGCTGCTATATCTATTACCAACACCTATTTTTTTATCCAAAGCTCCTAGGAGCACATCTTCAGTCACCTTTATGAAATATTCCTCTCACCCATTTTAAAGAGTCTATACAAAAGCTTTTTAAAAATAAAGACTATTTTGTTAGAATTCTACACAGGAGAAAGTTTAAACTCTCAGTCCTTACTCTGCACATACTCGAAGAAATTTTCTAGAGCTCCTGCATTTACACCATCCAAAATAAAGTCAGCAGTGTTTACATCAGGGGTTTTGCCCCCCCTGTTTTCCAAACCAAGTAGAAAACACCCCGTTGTCAGTGTTAGGAGGGATATAACACCACGCTCAGTATCACTTCGTCTGCAATATGTCACAGTTCATTAACGACATTTTGAAGAAAGAAGAGCTGTAGCCGTGGCCACGCAACAGTCAGAAGGAAGGTGACCGATGCTCCAACACTGGGCATGGCCAGCGCTGAGGATGCCCAAGGTCTGTCCTGGGAGGTGGCAGTGATGCCACCAGCTCTGAAAGGTGCAAACCATTGGCACTTCTCCTGCCTCCGGGCAGATCCGGCAGCTCGGCAGCGATGGGAACCGCGCCACCGATGCAGATTGACAAAAAAAAGCAGCATCTGGCCCCGAGTCCCTCCAATATTTGTTTTTACTATAAAAGGAGAATTCGACTGTAGATGACACATGGGTGAGCTGATTTGGTTACACGAGGAACTGGGAAAGTGGAGTGTTATGTTTTCAAGTGCCCTTTTCTGCTTTGACAGTTCAAATTCTTTTTAAACTTCACCTCGGGCGATGCGGTCGGGCTGTCTCCAGACCTGTGCCCACGCTATTTTAAGCACTAACAAGCACAGTCTCACTACCGGGCACCACTCATCTCAGAGCATCTCCACCCAACGACCAGCTCCAAGAGCTCGTCAGCAAACCTGCATGTTCAAAACTATTATTCATTTATTTAAACCATGTTCTAAAGGAACGAAGCCATGCTTGTGGCCACATAGGTTCACAAAGGAAGACCAGTGGGGTCCAGCCGAGGATTTCCTTCATCATTCTCATGCCGCGAGCACACCACTGGCCCCAGCAGCCCAGGGTAGCACTATTCTCCTCTCCTGGATTTCCCAGGGCAGACACATTGCCATCATAAGTTTCTGCTTCCTGATACGAGCCTGGAGGCAGGCAGGGCTGGAGAGCGCTGTGACTGCGCTTCTGAAAACCTCACCGACGTCTCCTGCTCCTCCTCCGCTTCCCAGCATATCTACCACCAAAAGCAAGGATTTGCTGCCCATGTAAGACCCACCCGAGGTGTAACGTGTGCTGTTGGCCATGCCCGCATACCTGCAGGGGGATGCAGGAGGACTCTGCTCCCTTGTCCAAGCCAGGAGCTGTGGCTCTGTCTGCTGTCAAAGAAAAATAACTTCAGCGTACGGTGAGAAGCCTCAGAAGCACCATTTCCTAGACGTGCCATACGCCTCCGTCACCATCCAGCCACACCAGCTAGAGCCATAGCAGGCTGCCCTGTCACCAGTCCCCATCCTCACCCCTCCGAACACCCATTTATGTTCTGCTGGGCTCATAACAGACATGCAAACAGACAAAGCGACGCCTTTCTCCATGCGTCGGTCCTCAAAGCATTCACACAATATCATTGGAAAAAAAAATGAGCTGAAAATGTCAAAATGGGATTTTTTGATTGCTCTGCTTAGGTGGGGGAAAGGGCATTCGCAACCAAGAACATGGCAAAACAGACATGAGCACACAGAACATCCACATGTGTATTTATATTTGCCTGGGAAAAATCTGTTGGAAAATCTTGCCCTTCTGCTTATAACCACTGTGTCCTGAGGATGAATAATTTTGGCTTTTCCCAAGAAAGGGCTCCAAATCAACAACAGCAGGGCTCAGGGCTGCTTCTTATCACCAAGGGACAGGGGTGGTTGATCTCACCATGTACTCCTGCTGACACTTCTTCAGGAAGGGCCGGTCAGCCACGGCCGTGACCGTGCACATCCCTGGACTCCCTGCTCTCCACCTGCACTGCCAAGATGAACCGTTGAATCCCAGCGCCAAGTCAGGGATGGGCAACTTCCCCCTCTCCGTGTCTAAGCGGTAGGACTTCAACAATGGAAGACATCAGTCTTTAGAGTGATAAAGCTTTCTCACCAAATTCTTTTTCTCATTATAAAAACAAGGGCAAGAATAACATTTATTCAATCGCACGGCTATTAAAGTATCTATTTTTCTGGACTCTGGCACTGCTTTCCCAAAAGGCAGCGTTTTCTTCGTGAAATACCAGCGAGTCTTGGGCATGACTTTAGAGAGCACCAGAAATAGTGTGTGGAAGGAGAAAAGCAGTATCGCTTTCTTCCACATATGGATACTCATTCCAATGAGGGATTTACACATGCAAATATAATCCCTTCTGATTCTGACATAGACCTAGTTAGACCCTTTTCTACTTTTTCTTCCATCTCTACCGTTGCCTGTTCATTTTCTTGTACTTGCTAATTTTGGCCATCTTTGCCCTGAAATGCAGCCAGCGTACACTCGTACAGATGTCTAATACGGGTGTTCATGCCACTTCCCATAACATCCTGCAGATTTGAGCCCAATCTGCAAAGCCCCACTGTGATGCTGGAAAGCCACCCGGGTCCAGGGCTGGGTCCAACAGCCCAGAAGCCTCCTGCCCGTTGACACATCCCCAAAGCCCCGCTGCCACCCCAGCTCCAGGGACAAAGGGACACCTGAGCTACCACGGAGTGCACCAGGGGCTGCAGCACTCTGCCACCAGCAGACTTGACCTCACGCTGCTGAAGGCAACAGCAAAGCTCCCGTTGGTCCCAGAAGGCCAGAGCTCTTTCAAGAAATCTTTGATTTGTTCTCGACTCAGCTGAGCAGCCTTTGTGCAACTGCCGGGCTGTGGTTTGAGCAAGGGTACGCTGCCACAACAATTCATGATTGATATTGTATAGCCTGGGGAAAGTCTGTGAATATTAATTCACTTAGTTCTGCTGCCATAAATAGCCCCAGACAGCCAACACCCATAAAAATACAAATACCCCAGTGTCAGCTCTTGGAAAATGCCATAAAACGGGACCGGGCTCACAGATCACCAGCACGGGCCAGCCCCCAGCTGGGTGACTGGCTGCAGGCGGCTTTAACCACGGCAGACACACCAGCACCTTGCAGGGTTTGGCTCTCTCATACTTAAAGGCAAAGAAATTAGTGTTTCCAGCCTTCACCGTCCTGTCTTGCAAGTAAAAAGCTTCTCTGAATAGAGCGCAGCTTGCGGATGGAGCAGCTATCCATCCTGGAAACCTCGGAACGCGTCCCAGGCTCTGAAGCGACACGAACACAACCCCCAGCAGAAGGAGCGGTCCTGGTCCTGGGTACACCGAACACACCATGTCCCACTGCGCTGAGGAGGGAGGCTGTGCAGGGGAGGGCTCCCAGGGGAGCTGTGCCCAGCTGAGCATCTTCTGTAAAATCCCAAAAAGCTGTAAGATAATGGCAACAGAACAAAATAAAGAGTAATTCTTCTATTTTCCCCTATTATGCTGAGCACAGTAATCAATAATTTTATGCACTGAAGAACTGTTTATCTTGGAAATGGAATTTCCCTTCTCCATTTAAAGATCTCTGATATGCGCCTTCCACTTCCCAGCTCTGCTTAGATGCTGGTGAAGTCACCTGGTTCCTATAACATGTTAGGAATGATCTTGGGTGCCCTGTTTACATCAAAACAGTATAAATTAGGTGCTAGGTATTGGCTGTGCTCCAGGGGACACGAGG